TGTGTAAAAAGGTTTTCCAGAGCCATACCGGGGAGACCATGATATGCTCTGCTGAGGGCACTGCCTGATGTGCTTCGTGAGCACAACTGCAGCACACAGCCCAGGCCTGTTCCCTTCCTGTCCTCCCTCCTCTAACTACATCTACTTTTGGTGTTTTAATGTGCTCCCTTTCTGGGGTACCAACCATGAAAGACACACACTTACAGTCCCCGGCTGCTCTCAGGGCTTAGGCCTGTGTGGACAGACTGCTTTATTCATGGAACTGCAGGTCACCAGTGAGCAAATATCTGGCAACCCACCCAAATCCTCAGGCACAACAGACCTTAGAACTGTGGTGACTCTGGCAGAAATAAAGATATCCCTTGCTATTGGCTTTATGACTCTTAGGACCCAGATCTGAATGAACTGTGCATTAATCACTTAGCAGCCATATCCATAGACCAGGTAACACACTAGGCGTAGATGATAAAACGCAGCCATGATCCTGGTGTTGGAGCTTATGGTACAGAGCAGAGATACATTTTTATTTTTTATTTTTTGGAGAGGTTTTGCTATAAGGGCGTGTACGCTCACCAGAAAGACAGAGAGAGAGAGAGATAGAGAGACAGAAAGCGAGAAATCACCCCCGGGAGGGATGGCCATGCTCCAATCCCTTCTCCTCCATTCTCCTCTTGGGATCTTGGGCATGCATACACATGTGCCCGGTGTGAGTTTAAGCTGCCAGGTCCGGAACTCAAACCGCAGTGGACTACATGGGAGTCTAGCGACATAGCCATTACGCCAACTGCTGGTCCCAAGACACAATTTTTAGTTCATCACACACAGACATAAACAATTACATTCTGTGTACACCAAAGGAGTGTATATGATTCTATCAGAACAGGTAACAAAGAATTCTCTATGAGATGAGGAAGGCAGGGAGTGTTTTCTGGAGAAAACATACCTTTAGCAAAAGAACTTGGAATTAATCAGCAAAGGGGAAGAAGAAGAAGGCTCGGGAACGGAGTCTAACAAACACAAGAAGTCACCTGTGCAAAGGCCCCCTGGCAGAAAGGAAAGAGCCAGGATGTAAGGGGCACAGGAGGAAACTGAGACTAGGCAGGAGGCAGTGTGTGCAGGAGATTCAACTGTGCGGAGGGCTGGGTCACTATCTCAACAGCAGCGGGAAACGCCTGACAGTTTTACACAGAGCACAGCGATGTTGTGACTGGCTTGCTTTGTGGAAAACCAACTCTTGCTAATGACCCAGGATGGATTTGGCTAAGGACAGGTGAGTAAAGCAAAGGGAACACGCTTGTCTGGAAAAACACTAACGTTGTGCTAGAGAAGGATCATAAAAGCTCTGGGAAGGGGGGGCCAGCAGTTGGCATAATAACTATGTCACTGGACTCCCATGTAGTTGACAGCAGTTCGAGTCCTGGACCTGGCGGCTTAAACTCATGCCAGGCACGTGTGTGTGCGTGCCCAAGATCCCAAGGGGAGAATGGAGGAAAAGAGATTGCAGCGTGGCCATGCCCCCCGGAGGGTGGTGACTTCTCACTTTCTGACTCTTTGTCTCTGTCTTTCTGGCAAGTGCATGTGCCCTATAGCGAAAAACTCTCAAAAAAAAAAAAGGCTTGGAGGAGGTAGCAATGAATTGAAGCCCGCTGGGACATCTGTGATATGGTAAGATGCAGCTTGAGACAAAGGGGGTATCAAAGATGAACTTCCAGTTCTGGAAGAGCAGCTCCAACATGCTGGTGCCACAGCCAAGAGGGAGTCAGACCAGGTGTTTGGGCAGAGCTTGGGTGTTGAGAGTGCAGAGCCACAGCAGGTATAAATCATCACCACGATTTTTATTACTATGATGGAAAAAGATGTTTCCTAAGATGCTTTCATGTTCATTGTCCTACTGGGTTCTGAAAATAGTCCATGGGATTCAGGAGTAGGAGACTGAAGTATAAAATGCCATTTAGGGACTTCCTATAGAGTCTTGAGTTGATGAATTTCATAACAAGCCATAAAATCAAGAATGTTTCAAGTAAACAATGACCCTGACTACACTTGGGGTGGGGGGGAGTCCCAGAACCTGCTGTATTTCAGGAACTGCTGGGTCCTCACATAGGTTATCTGTGTCAGCCATTCCTGGGTGACTAACAGTGTCTCTACCTACTTGATAGCTGAGAGAACCAAGAATCCAAACAAGTTAGTTCTAACCTCAGAGGTGAACCAAGAATTGAACTTGGGGTACTTTCCAACCACTCCATGTTTTCTGAAGACGTAGAGGGTGCAGACTTGCAAGGGACACAGCCTGGGACTGCCCAAAGGAAGGCGAACGATGAACGCGGAGGAAGCCGCGTCCTCGGTGCCAGCTGCTGCTCCTCCTCCCCTGTTGCTTTTCCCCGTGGTGTTGGCGCCAAGACCCTGGGAGACAGAGTGGCTTGCTTTCACCTTAATTAGCACAGCAATTTGCTAAATTTTGTTTTTCCCTTTTTAAGAATGTTAATCAATTTTAGCTCAGAATAGATTGGAATGGCACGCAAATTACAACGACAATCCCCAAATGCTAAATTCTGAACATCTCCATCAACCTTGGATCCTGAAATATGTGAAAATCAGAAACTCCGGCTGGCATCTCTGTGATCTATTTAAAATGTTATGGCTCTGAAATGAAAAGATAATGGCTCTATGAGGCTTGGAACAAGCAATTTGCCTGAAGCAGCCTCATGCCTAGGTGTTTGGTCCTTCCCAAGGTGACTGGGGAGAGAGGATCAATGTATTCCTGCAAAGTTACATGTTCCTCTAATAACAGCAATTTGCTAAATCCTTAAGAATTCCAGGGTACCTACTATGCACCAAAAATAAAAGCATAAGATGGGGGGACCAGCAGTTAGCGTAGTGGCTATGTTGCTGGATTCCCACGTAGTCAATCATGGTTCAAGTCCCGGATCCGGTGGCTTAAACTCACCCTGGGCGCGTGTGCGTGCGTGCCCAAGATCCCGAGGGGAGAAT